TATATCATTCAAGTTGGTAGGCAGAATACAGCATGGAAGATGTTCGAATACATCCCCACAGATTGGGTTGACCCGAGCGGCTCAGTAGGCTTGCCAACCCGTGAAGCGTCCCGCGCCACGGAGGTTCGTCACTGCCGCCTTTCGCATAACATATTCATTGATATTCTGTCGCCAGTATTCCCTCGGCGATTTTGCTGTTCGTCAAGCTGCAATTGCACTGAACAAGTCAGACGCAGATATTGCAAAGTACTCTAATCGATCATTGAATTTTATGAACCATTGGGATCCATCTGTGACCTCGGATGGGTTTTCGGGATTCTTGCAACGGCGATTTCAGGTCCGTCTTCTGTTCAGCCTGGTTGAAAAGGTTGGAAGGCTGACGCGGTTCCACCGAGTAGAATGGCACATTCGCATTCAGCCCACCGGATGCGTGCTCGCCTGTTGATCCCGTTAGTCACTCGTGTGCAAGAGGAACTGACAATGATGTTGGCTTTTATGAGTGTAAGTCGATGCTCATTTGCTTTACGAGTTGTTTATAGGAGCATAATGTAGCATCGTCCTGGGAGATGAGCTTTTTCGCACCCCAATCTATGTCTACCATCATCAGACTGATGGGAGGACCCGCAATATTCCTCTCCAGAGTGTATGCCTTCCATTCATCTGACACGACTGGATCCAACATCGAAATTCTTTAGAGACAACTACTTTACAAGGGGATATTATCAGGCAGGCAATGAACCTTCTTTTGAAATTCCGTGGGTGTACCATTACGCCAATCGCCCAGACCTTAGTGCGCTGCGGGTACGCAAGGTTGTCTTTGATAATTTCAACACCGGAATACGAGGGTATATTCTTCACTTTGTAACCTTGACTCAGCGGATTGAAACTGCTTCAGCATTCCGGGAAACGACGACTCCGGCGCCATGGCATCCCTCCTCGTTTTCCACTTATTAGGCCTCTATCCCGTGCCCGCCTCAACTCAGCTCCTCATCGGTTCCCCATTCCTCTCCTCTTTTATAATTCACAACAACCTGGTCGGCACTAACACAAACTTTACCGTGATTGGCTTCGACCCTACCTCACTCGCAAGTTCACCGCCCGTCGGCAGCAGATTATTCGTTAAGAGCGTAAAGGTGGATGGAAAACCGGGGAGTTTATGTTGGATTGACTTTTCCGATGTTGTAGGCGGGGGGGAGGTTGTAATTGAGGTAGATGGGAATGCCACGTCAGCGGCGCAGAGGGGATGTGGCGCGGCTTCAAGTCGGCCTTTGCCTGACTCACTCGAGACGGGCGGGTTTATGGCACAATCATAATAACGTTGACCTCGACATCTGGAAAGGAATATTTGGATCGTTATCTACACCTCCAAGCTCATTGAATTCCCCAGAGACTGCAGCGAATTTTCGTCTATAAATCTCTGGCGAGTAGTACTCGTGGAGTATGATTACTCGTTTTAGGTAATGCAATTCCACATCGAACATAAGCCTTCTTGGCCCCGAGGCCTCGTTAAGGTTTCTCTGTAGGTCCATTTCGATCATACAGGATCAAGCGCTAGTTATAAATAGTTTCGATGCCCTTGACCCTACTATAGCGCCCGTTGTGGTCCCACGCGGATCTTTGGCGGACCAGGATCGCAAATTGTTCATATACAATTACAAGATACATACTCTGTTAATTTATCGGATTAGATTGCATATTGCGTGTCAGTACTCCCAAGCTTTGTTATGGATTGGGGGTAAGCTCTTGCAAAATATTTTTGGATCGTTCACAATAAGCGTGGACGGGGATTGCCGCGATCTTCTTTTAGCTGGATCTTGTGGGGGACTGTCATCAACAATCTTTCTGCAAACTTGACACGTCTCAATGGCTGACCAACTCGTAAGAGCTTCATTTTTCAGCGACCGTCGCCGATATTGACCGATATTGGCCTCGATTTCCAGTCTGAAGGTGCGATAACAATAGATTGGGAAGATCGCATATCTACTAATCATATTGCACAACATCTACAGAGCAAATTTCTGGTGAGCGTCCCCCTAGCGTCCTCGTCTTAGAAACGTATATTCATCATCTATTCTACGTGTCCAGAGTTCAAGGAGGCTTTCTCCTTGTTCGACAAGGGTTTGTCGGCTGATCTTATCGCACGTTGAACCAGTGGGCTAACGACATCCATTTCCAGATGGCGATGGTACGATTACTACCAAGGAACTGGGCACCGTCATGCGCTCGCTCGGGCAGAACCCCACAGAGGCAGAGCTGCAGGATATGATCAACGAGGTTGACGCAGACGGCAACGGGACGATCGATTTTCCCGAGTTCCTCACGATGATGGCTCGCAAGATGCGCGACACCGATAGCGAGGAGGAGATTAAGGAGGCGTTCAAGGTGTTCGATAAGGATGGAAACGGCTACATTAGCGCAGCTGAACTGCGACACGTGATGACCAACCTGGGTGCGTACTCTATGGGCTCCGCATGGGCACTCTTTTTGGTCCATGGGCGTGGGAGAAGGTGCTGATACGTGGGCTTCTTATTTTCAGGTGAGAAGCTTTCTGATACTGAGGTCGATGAGATGATCCGGGAAGCGGACGTCGATGGCGATGGGCAAATCAACTACGAGGGTGCGTGTTGGCGTTTCAGTTTCAGGTGTATATTGAATGATTGTTACAACTCCTTTGTCTTTTCTATAGAGTTTGTCAAGGTACGTCCTCATTGCCTTCCGCAGCGTTTTCAAGTTACTGACATATGGCGTCTCCGTAGATGATGCTGTCTAAGTGATCGACTGTTTGCGATCAATAGATTGATTATCCTTAGCGAGAGGCGTCGGAGGTCTGTCATGTCAATCAAGAGCTAGTAGTTGTTCCTTGTCTGAGTAGCCTTTATCTTACTTATATATGTATGTTACGCCCGCGTCCGAATGAATACCGACCCAAAAAATATACAGGTCATCCAATTTCTCTTTTACGATTGCCAGACAATACTTTTGTGTGTAGCTCTTCTGTGTAGTACGATTCAGACCTAGGCCTGAGCGGGACCTATTCACAAATCATGATATCATCAAGTGCGGGCTAAGCGACTCAGCCACGAGTATAACACAGCCACGCCGACGCTAAGCGGTGCACCCACAGCCCTCTCAAACTCTGCGACTCGACGACATTCATGCATGCGTAGACCGCCTACCCGCCATGTAGAACAGATCACTTCTTCTTCAAGGACAAAGACTTGATGTCAGGAACTCACGAGTATAAATAGGAAGGGTCCTTATATATCTTCCTACCTCGACGACCTACATTCAAGCCCATTCTTTGAGCAGAGAGGAAACATCGATCGCAGCCGATTCTTTGCTATGCCTGATCAGATTCAATTGGTGTGTAATCACTTGCAGATCTATGGGGTCGGTCTGATTAACACCACTTTCCGTAGACTCCAGGTTCGTTTCCAAACATGTCCCGTGCAATCCTCCCTCCGCTAATTCAACACTCTTCTTACAGACCAGATTGAAGGTACGCCTGTGTAATGCATGCCCATCTCCGTTTCTCATCTTCTGTTATTTTAGGATTTAGAGAAGCGTTCGCGTTCTTTGATAGAGGTCGGTGATAATATGATGTCAAGTAATTCTCTGATGTGACACGTTATAGACAACGATGGGGCCATAACCTACGAAGAGCTCGGAATCGTCATGCGCAAACTTGGAGAGGCACCCACGGATGACGAGTTGCAAAACATAATCCGTGCTGTCGACGTTGACCATAGCGGGACCATAGACTTTTACGAGTTCTTGACTTTAATGACGGAGAAACTTCCTGGAATTAACAACGATGACGAGCTGGAGGCTGCGTTCAACTTCATTGATACAGACCATAGCGGGTCGATCAGCTCAGACGAGTTGAAGCTTGTCTTGCAGAGGCTTGGTAAGCCATATATCCCACGTCCCCCCATAGCAATGGTTTAATCATCTTTGTGATTCTAGATATGAACTTGACGGAGCAAGAGCTGGATAAGATGATGAAAGAAGCTGATTTGGACGGGAATGGTGTCATTAGCTTGGACGGTGAGCAACTAACTAAACTATCAGTTTTGAGACCACTCTGTTCTGAATTTATTTTTTCTCTTTCCTCTAGAATTCAAGAAGGTGAGCTACCTTCAACTGCCCCTTTTCCTTCAACTACTAACGGTCTACACAGATGATGGAGTTTTGAACGGATCGACAGACGCAAATCACCACTTTCTCACCATTCGGGCTCGTGTATTCGCCATTTTTGCATCGTGATAATGCCGCATCTGTATCAGACAATGCTTATATAGGTATCCTATCTTTTGAACTTGGCCCGCACAAGGTAATATTGGAAGCGTGCCGGCGAGGTAAGACCCTGACGTCATGATCAGTATCTATCTCGTCATTGCGGACCGGCGTAAGACCGTCCTCCTTATAAATACTGCGCAGCTTCTTCCACTAAGTAGTCCCACATCGAAATCCCGTTCTATCTCCAGCGCAATGTCCTCGCAGAACAAGACTTCGGCATCTGTGTTGAACACTACAAGTCAACCAAGCCAGACCAAATCAGAGTCAGAGGCGACGTTCACAATCCAGCCCCATCCTGCTGTAGGTGCATTATTTATCTGCAATTCTCTCAACTTCGAACACATTCCCAACAGACCACCAACAATCCTGAGGATCACCGGGGAAAAGACGGTTTCTTCGCACATCTTGCGCAGGGTCCCGGGCCCGTCATCCCTGATACTCAAATGCAAGGAAAGATTGGAGAGCCTTTGGTGCGTACACGCCTCTACCACGATTCGTTGAATCTCAATACCGTATATTTCTGTAGAGTAAGGAGGAGCTTCGCGTGCGCGCCGCAGAATTGAACAAGTAAAGGCACGAGAAATAGTCGCGAACAATTGTACCATCGATGATGAAATAATTGTCAAAGGATGTTTTCTAATCCTGTGAGTTGAAACCTGTAGCTGTGGGAGGGGCAAAAGAGTAAAATTCTAGGCCAGTCCTGCATTAAGGGAGAATTGAACTCCCGGCGGGTCGAATTAAGAAATTGTCAAGAATTTCTTGGCAACGACCCAGGTTACCACTACCCCATTAATGCCATTAATTGTGGGGCACAATGAGCCAAAGCAAGTTCAATAAGTAGAGGTCTTGCCTCTTCATAGCGACATTTTAAACCTTGGCTCGACGTAGAATCGGCTCATATCTCTCAATCAACCTGCGTCACAGGCCGATGCATTAGCATCGGTGACTTAAAAGCTTATGATTTCATTCGTGCTTCCATGGAAATCCTTTTCATCACATACTCCCGTCCCAGCATAGGAGGGAAGATTCTTGTTCGAACTTGGGGCTTATCGGCACGTTCAAATTGTATCTGCCATACGAAAACATCTCGCTCAACATACAACCGCGTCTATCTGTTCTCCTGGAAGATTAATAAGGCGAGTTCAATCATATTGTGAAACATCATCGTCGAGGGGCAGCTTTCCGTTTTCTGCCAGGTCTCCATCCCAGCACAGGTTGTTGGCTTGCGAAAAACAAAGGGAGAGAAAGCAAGAAGGAACCAGTGGCTGCCGGTCAGGCGATTAACTCTATCCGACTCCTAGCTGTTGCGTGGGGTTGTTCTCATTTTTTATGTTTTGTCTTTTCTATCTGTCTTTTTGCTGTTTTTTTTTTATCAATCCTTTTCTTTTTCTTTTTTCTTCTCTTTTCTTATATCTTATCATTCGAGAACCCCACAAGGTTGCTAATGCCACTAAGTACCACCACCCCTTGTTAGGGTAGCCGAGGTAAGAGCCAAGAGGATGGCCAGCCCTGACATTGTACCTCGACTCTTCCAGATGTTGTTAGAGGGAACCTGCAGTCGCCAGAGTGCCGTTAAGCACCTTGGTACCAGATGTAACGAGCAGAGAGAGAAGTTAACTGGGCTTTTGCTTTTTTTTTTCAGCCGACGTGGTGCTGAATTTCGAGGTTCAGAAAGCCGAAATGCTACTGCAGCTGGTGCTGCACTTTCTCGTTTAACGCATTGTAGACAGTACATTTACAACTCACTACACTGATTGGATCTTGTACTGACGTCAGGTCTGGTTTTGTGCTTAGCTACCTGTCAGTGTTCGTCTTCTGCTCGATCAGAATTATTTCAATTCAATGTATGTATCTCTGACAAACCTTGCCCCTAACAACAGCGTTTCAAGATCTGCCGTTATTCTTCTCCCATGAAAAGGTAACAAACATCACCGTCGAAGGATACAGAAATAGCTTGACCGTGAATCGTCCGTATCATGATGTTTGATACGGCGTACCGGACAAGCATCTCTCTTCCTACCTTTTCCTTTCGTTCTACTACCGATACATGCACAATCATCAGCGACCACGGGTAAGTCACCCCGATATAAAATTGTCAATCGGCTTACTTTCCGACGAACCTGGGTCAGACTGGTCTGTCGATTGACTGATATGGTTTTCATGGTGATTTCCAACAGGAGGTAACTTCGAGAAGAAACCCTTGACATCTACAATTGATGCCACCAACAGTCAAAAGTTCTAACTCCACCAGCCTCCATCCGTTGCAAGCGTTAGTGAAACACTTCTTTCCGTATCCTTGAGCTCGTTTCAAGAGCTATATGAACGGCCCCCGATAGATTCCCGATTTAGAGACCGTCAGATCATGGGGTGGACGTGGACATGCTCGTCGACGCAATATTTCATCGGTTGACAAGTTCTGGAAGCCATCTTCTCTAGAGATCAGGAAACACGAGATGATCGAACAAAACCGCGGTAAGAAACGACTTAGGAGTATATATCTCGATTCTGACGTATTCCCAAGTGTTCTTGGCCCTCTAGTTCCCCTGAGTCTTTGGCTCTCAATTTTCAACGTTTTGGCTATTCTGCCACTGCGATGACGACAGAAGACAACACAGAGTTTATCGCTCTTTACCGTGGAAGTCTTATTCCTTTGCATGCTTGTCGTGAGTATCTATTTCGAATTCTTTCGTCACCTGTGTTCTGTATGCGTGCTTGTTTTTCAGTCGTTGGTTTAACATGGATTTTGCATGATTATTGTGAGTTTAATAATATTTTACATGGTTGACGCTGCTAATTGTCATTCACAAGCGATCACCCTTGAGGATGAGGTGCGCATGTGTATTGGATGTACTTAACCTACAATTCTTATGCTGAACATCATTAGATACGTTATATTTGGGTACAGTGATTGATGCTTTTCGATATTCCAATCGACTCAATTTTCCTAGTCTCAAAAGCCGGGCTTTAGCAAATATATGTTTCTATGGGTAACTTACTGTCTTACGCTGCCCTCTAGTAGAAGTCCGCTGATCTTGGGTTAGATACGTTACTACAGGTAACCTTGACAAAGTTCCCTTCGTGTCCATTGCTGACGACCTTCAAAGTCTAGCACTCCTTATATTTGATGTGACACAGATACATGTGTTTTCAATACCAGGGATAACTTCTGACACGCTGTAGGTATCTCATCATCTTCGCCATGTTAGACTATTCAAACCGTTTTCACAGTTGTGTCGCAATGGATTCCATCATTCGAATTGTTGGTGCGATCAGTCTATGGTCTATTGAGATCATCATGATGTTGCGGGTGTATGCCCTGTATAATTGTTCCAAGAGAGTAAGCTTCGAGGCAGCCATAGCTTCGTACTGCTCTGTTGGCAAGCTCAGACTCACATGTCTTTACAGGTAGCTGTTTTCAATGTAGTGCTTTTCCTTGGGTCGATTGCGGTCTTCTTATGGGTTCTCATTCATAACGCTCAAAGACGGAGAGCAGTGATAGCCGATGCGATCCATCTTCCACTCCCAGGCTGCCCTTCAATTCATACTGGCGTCGAGTGGTTACAATGGATTCCTGCGACTGTGTTTGAAGGGGTTTTGTTTTGTTTCGCTCTATTCAAGACGTTGAAGACGACGACGACACGAATAATGAAGAGAACACGGGTTTCGCTTTATTCTGTGCTGTTGCGTGATAATTTGTTCTATTTTTTCGGGTAGGTGGACAGCGTCGCTTGTGATATATATCTGACATACCTGGCATGGATTCAGAATTACTGTCCTCCTTGTCTTCAACAACTTAATGGTCGTCGTAAGTCTGACGTTCCTGACTCGTGATATCTGTTGAGTTATTTGTAGGGCGTGACGAAAATTCCTTGGTTCAGCTATAGGTGTCCCTATCCATCCTCTCAGACAGGATTCGAACTAATATCTTCTTCCCCTGAAGTCCCTTCCATGCTGCCATGGAGATTTTAACCACACGCATGCTTATAAACCTTCGAAAGGCTATGATTCAGAACCAAATTATTTCAAACGGCACTTTGGGCACCGGCATTCCTGCAAAAAGGATCAATAACCGCAGAGAGCACTCGACAGCGGAGGATATGGCGACCTGGCATGTTGCCAGTGTGACTCCAGGTTCCACAACTATTGGTGGCGCGTCTGCTGATGTAGCCTTCGCTTGAGCGCATCACAACGGAATATCTTTCGTCTTGACAGCTGGCAAATTGATTTCTCTGCTTTATTGACACGACTGTATAGCACAATAGCGCATTCCGAAAGCAAAATATATAGCAGAAAAGCAATATAGACAGACCAATGCCATTGGGAGACAATCTACTTCAATAAACCTTACAGAAAAAGCCTGTCGGATCAAATCCCGGTCGCAATCAGATACTTACTAGTAACCCTCCTCTCCGTCCACTTGTATGCATGACGTTCTGACCGTGTGGGCATACAATGAGGTTAAGGAGTGAAGCTCAGCGGGTAAGTCGAACAAAAATTTACTAGAGATGTGTCGAGTATCGCACAAGACAATTTTGTTCTAAGCGCTTGAGCAAGCACCACCTTTCAACGTCTGACGTGGACTTTTATACTTAGGATGCATTTTGACGGCGCGGTAATCTTCAGCGAAGACGTTACTCGTAATTTGACGCCTTTGCAACCTTTGTGACAGCAGTATAAAAAACTTGTTGTATCCCGAAAGATCTCTTGGGTTGAGCAGCAAAGACACCCCAAGGTTGATAGAGATGCCAGAGGCGGCCTGGCTCAAGCAGGATGGATGCTACGACAACAAAGGGGAACACTGCATAAACGAAGAAAAGTGAGTCGGTCACTTTTATTGTACCCTCTGCTGTCGTCTTTCTAGAATCTCACTTCAGCCACGCACGTCGGAGCCACACCACGAGAATTGAAGATTTTTTAGAGGCTATGATGAGCCTACGAGCTGTACAACTTTGGATTCGACGTCTTTCGCGCTCAAGTTGTCTAGTTCCACGTGCTTCTCCACTCCACGCTCTGTGAACGGTGAGCGTTCGGAATGGAAAGAAGATCAAGCCACCGTACCAAATCTTGCAAACACTCGTGCTGGAGTACCATCGGCTTCTCGAATCAGAAGAGGTAGGTCGGGATTGTGTTGCTTTATTGTTGCATATCGTGAGAGGATAAACTCCCTGAAAAGCAGGTCAGAGCCGCAACTAGCACCGGATTTTTGAAGTTTCTGACCGAGTTCCCGCGGAGGCCGGGCCTGTCTGGGATAAAAGAATCCTTATTTCTCTCAACGCTGGTGATAGAGCCTTCGAGAACGACATGAGTGTAGAGGTCGCGTTCCACGAGGTGGCCGTTTGAAGTGTAGGCGGGGAGCGGAAAGTGCTGACGTAATCAGGTGTTTCCACGCGTTGTCGTTGATCAAACTTTTGCCAACGGCCAGGTTATTGTTCCACCATTGCTCACCATTATGAACGTCGATGAGAAGCACCAACAGGATGACTGGACACGGAGTCATAGGAATAGGCTTCCATCGTTTACTGAAGTCCTTTCAAGGCGAACACGCCCACCTGTCGATTTGTTTATGTTCTAGTGCGTTGAATCTTCATTCCGTTTCGAAGTGTATTCATAGACTCCTCCTAGCCTTTTTTTACAACGAGAAGGAGCAGAGGATATTCTTGACTTTTGGCTAGACGTCCAGCAGCACGAAAATCTTTGCCGTGCATACTTCAAAGATGTTCGTAAATCGGGTCGCACGATCAAGGAGGATTGGCCACAATATTGGGATTATGCACGTAGACGAGGGTCTATATATGG